CCCTTCCCATGAGTTGTAAGCCGCCCTGAGTCCCCTCAGGGAAAAGGGCGGCCTATAAGTGACAATAAAATACTAAAAAAAAAATACTATTGCTCATCACCATCATCGTTTCTGGATAAGAAGTGAACCTTGAAACCCGCTTCATTTTCAGGCTCCCAATAATTCTCGCAAACAGCCTCAGTGGACGCCTCAACCGTTCCTCAGCCGTACCTTCTTATCGCCCCGGAGAGTCACGTAGCCGCCCGAGCGCCCGGCGTCCCCTGGTAAACGGCCCTTCCCCGTTGCCGGATTCAAAGCCGCTCCCGTTGCTCCAAGGAGCCACCTGCACGTGACACACGCCCACCAATCAGCGGCGCGAAAGAATTCCTCCCGCTACCCTTTTCACCCCCGCCTCGTCAAACGTCATCGTTCAATGAAAACCAACCGACCAATCCCCGGGGAAGAAGGCTCAATTAGGTCCGCCCTCTTCGGCCCTATCGGAGCTGGCTTACTCCTCCTCCTCCGGTAGTGACGAAATACAGATCCGGTCGCATCCTTTGACACCACCACCCCGCCCTTCGTATCCTCATCTGCCGAAGGCGGGAAAGTAGATTGACAAGAGCAGCACCCAACACGCGCGATAGTCCCGAGCTGTGTTGTAACTCCTCCCCCTCTTGTGTGTTCCTTACTTGTCAAATCATCAGAGCGTTTGAAAACCACGCCCCCTCTGTCGCTTTCCGCTTGGGGGGGGGAAACCAACCAGCGAGTGACGTAGGCTGCTTCGGTTGCCTTCCGAAGCGCGAATGCTTGTCACGTGCAGCGGCCGGCCAATAGGCGTTGGTAACGTGACTCGCCCGGAGCCGTCTCCCTTTTTCGCGTGGGCTGGCGAGCTGAAAGGCCGGGAGCTATGGAGGAATACGCCCGGGAACCTTGGTAACCGAGGCGGTGGGTGGACGGCCAAGGGCTGGGCGCGGGCCTTGGCTTCGGAGGAGAGCGAGCGTCTTTCGCTGGCCGACTTCAGCTCCTTCGAGGTGGCGGGGAAAGCATAAAAGTTTGGGGAGAAACCCCCCCCCCCTCAGCCCTCCATAGCCGGGCTCCTTCTTTATAGTTCGCCCCTCCTTCCTTCCGTCTCCCTCGGCTGCTCCTTTCCCTCGGCCCGGCCCCCTTTTTGTATCCCATCACAACAGCCCTGCGAGGTAGCTTCAAGGTCAGCGGAGAAAACGAACCGGCGTCCCATCTCCGTGCGGGGACAATTCCTGAGAAGGGATTGAACCCGCAGTCCAAAGCCTGCGCTGGAGCCGCCTTGGCCTCCCCCCCCCCTTTTTTTTTTAAAGCAATGGCACTTCGGCTTCTTTATATACTGCAACGCTTTTCTTCCCTCTTTTTACTCCCCTCCCGGTTATTATACAAAAGCGGCCAGGGCACAAACGCCGTTCGGGAGCATTGCATAAAAGGCACAATCTGCCGATTACCTCCCTTCGTCCCATCAGATCGCATAGAGTAGGCCGCCTCCGAATTCCATCCGCCAGTCAGTGCCGACTGGTGACTACGCGGAGGAGAGCCTTCTCAGTAGCAGCTCTGACGCTTTGGAACGATCTC